ATAGGTTCACCTGGTCATTTACTTTTATAAACGTTTCCTAACATAAAGGACTAACGTTTTGCAGATTTACTTTTTCTAGGCATGCATAAATAATGACGAAATTGGAGAAATATGCATTGGTCTCTCGATTCAAATTTTCAAACCGTCAAATCTGCATATTTATGAGACAATATAGCGATAAATCTGCGGTGCAGAGTCTGAAGAAATATATGACTAGATACCGGATTCTGTTCCTTACAAGCAAAGCACGAAAAATCTTTTAGAAACTAAACTACTTGTAGTATGGACCGGAATAAAAAATCACCTACCAGTCCTCCCAACAAATAATCCTCCATCTTGAAAATTCTATACTGTAACCGAAAAACGCGATACTGTAACACGTTCCCTACGGTGAATATATTACTGAAGATCTCTCTTGGGTGTTGGCGAATTTAGATTCATGGGGCATGATTAACATTTGATTTGTACAAGTTCTCAAGGCATTGGTGCATATTCAATATTAAAGCCAGAGGCATAGAAGTTTATATCAATAAGACTTAAACATATTTTCCATAAGCATTTTAATAAAAATTATGTCCAATTCATCTTGGTATGTGAAACATTTTTAAAAATGTATGATATGATGTAGATACATGAACAAAATTTTAAAGTGGTCAACAAGGAAATACCACATGCCAAATATTTAAGGTCTAGAGGCATTAATAATGTATAAAGGTGTGCGTATGTGTTTCTATAAAAGACGTGTCCTTGACCTATGTGTAGAACAATATGAAAAACTATGAAAGAGGACTCCTGTAGTGTGGTTAATGTGCAGTCTTTGGTGTCATAGTTATCATTTAAAGATAAACTAAATTACACATTAGAGACAACAGATGAATAGGGATCCCAATTCCTGTTTATGCTCACCAGAGCACAACTTGCTCATAGTGAGCATAAAAGGGAATTATATTGTAAGAAGGCTTGGTATAATGATCATCTCCTGTACAAAGATTCAACGACAATAATCAACACAAATATAGTTTATTCCTTTTCCCTATATATCTAATACTATCCCGGATCCCGGGCGTCCCGGATCCTGGGATTTTTCCCCCACCCTAAATACCGGAAAGGATAAAATGACCGGAACCAGATGTACACTTTTGTTAATGAACCAAACGAAAACTTACTACAGAGAAAACAGGTGAAATTGCTAAATCAAAAGTCAGGGTAAATATGATTTATTGAAAAGAATTCATGGAAAACAAACATTTTAATTATTATTATATCTTTGCGCTCGAAGCAATACTTGCTGCTTTTTAAAAATGGCGTGAAAATTGAAGGTTTTTTGACGCTATGTAAGATTAAATTTGATTGGCTAAATAATTTTGGATTCCAGCCCAGACAGATAAATTTTGTAGAAAGCTGGAAGCCAAGCTTCGATTAAAGTTTTGGATGGATTCGGAGTTTTAGGTTATTTCTCAGTAAAATCCTAACGTAATACCGGCTCGCCGTGGCGAGCCGGCATAACCAATACTGAGTAGGTATTTTAACAAACGTGACGTTGTCAATAACTGGCAATTTAATCATCTTTATCATACGGAGGGCGTTCGTTGCCAAAATTCCAGACATGTAATGGGTTCCTTTTGAAAACTTCTTTTGAAAATGGGAACGTGTATGTCTAGCATTTTTGATTATATTCGTGCAAAGCAATTGATATGTCTCTGAATCGAAGGCACCCGCTTTTAAACAACAAGTTTACGGGTGGATCTTAATAACTTAAGTTAATGAACATGGAAAACAACAACAAATTTACAAATTCGTATCTTCCATTGCATATAAAACATAAGCAGGTTTTCACACTTATAGATATCTATCTGTACCTGAAATATACAAATGAAATGTAAAACTCGAATACAGAAAATAGAGTTTAAGAAAATAACATGTTAAAAATGACAAAAGTAGATTTACAAAGTTAAACGATTTTAAGTCATGCATGACGCCCCGCCCCTCCTTGAGTATTTACGAACTTCTATTGCGGACAGGTATAAAAACCCGGCGCCTTTCCCCTATTTATTGATAAAACTGAAGGATAAAACACCCCATCATACCTTACATATTATTTTATGCATTTGTTACAAAAATATTATCACTAACTCACCTGAAAATTGCTAATTTTACCATTAATTTATACAAAATGATTAAGATAACTTATGCACTAACTTACTATTTTACCTCGTGTTTTCCTGAGAAACATCGGCGATTTGGAAATTTTTAGGACTTCAAGCGGGTAATTTTATTCATAATCTAAAAATCAGCACAATGGAGTGCCAGACAAAATATTTTGTTGACATTTGAGTAATTATTGCCAATTTAGTTGTATGCAATGCTTTGATTTAAAACATCAGCGATTGCACTGTTTGATTTTATTAACCTGTCAATTACATACTGATTACACGGTCAATGCACACAATATATTAATCTACGGTAGATTTTCCGTAAGTTTCGTGAGATGTACCCTGTACGATGGAATTTAATTTAATTTGTATATGTAAAGTAAGTGTACTGACCGTTATAGCGCAATAGGGTAAAGTACGAGTTTATAATCTAAGTGCCAGACGTGTTTTAAGTTCGAGACCGCGTTGGTCCATGTTTTTTCCTTATTTATATTTTCATCATTTTTGAAGCTATATATGGTTTTTGTATGTTGTTAGTTTTGTTTTATTATGTTTCACTTAATTTGTAAAGTCTATACTCTTTTTAAATAACATGGTTTAAGAATTCATGTTTAAAATTCATTCGGATTAAAATCAATAAATGTTATTACACACTTCAAATCGATTCATTTAAAATTTACTGAAAAAATAAAGAAAGAGTAGGCCTAAAACAATGTCATCACCAAGGATCGAACCAAAGACCTCTCTATCATCAGGCATTCACTTAACCGACTGTGCTATTGTGAATTAACAAAAACCTTCACGTTAAGCTAACACATGACTATATACTCCACATTAATTCTCGTAAACTACACGGATCAAACCGAAGTGGGATCGAATATTTAAATGAGTGCTTTAATGTATTCATAATTGACAGGTCAATAAAATCAGACTATAAAAGGAGTAATTTTGTATTGTGTATCGAAATTGCTAACCTAGTTTTTTGACATTGTGTACTGAGATAAAATGTGTATCGAGAGAGCAAAAGGCGTTGCATTCCTTGCGTTTATTTATAGTATAGAGGGGTGCATTTGCCGTTATTTATTAATTATTTGCTTATAGAATGTCAATTTCCTGTGGTTTAATGTCTGTAATATTATAATTTTACAGTAAAAATTACCTTATAATACTGCACGTTTGTAACGTCACTTTTAATGTAACGTCACTAGATAATCGTGACGTTTATATAATTTTATATACACGGCTGCTGTCGACTCATGAAGAAATCTTACTTTTTTCTTTAAAAAATGATGCTTGCTGTATTATAAATTCGTCATAAAGATTGTTGACAGGTTATATGGCCGTATATAAACGGCTGTTTGCAATATAACCTTCGCCTAGCGGCTCGGGTTATATTTACAAATAGCCGTTTATATAGGGCCATATAACCTGTCAACAATCTTTATAACTAATAATATTGTGTTTGCCGGGGAATATGTTATCATTTAACGTTCCCGCTTTTTTCACGACGTTACGTCATTTGTTTAAATGTTTATTTAGGTATTAGATATCAATTCTGAGTGCATTGTTGTAGAATAATGCACGGTTTGAGTTCAAATGCGTAGTAATATAATCACGAAGGCCGGTAGGCCTGAGTGATTAATTACAAAGCATTTGAACGAAAAACGTGCATTATTACTAGTATACGATAATGCACGAAGAAGAATTAATATCTATTTCCATTCTAACACGTCAAGAAAAAATATAATTATTATTATAAAGTTGGACTTTATGTTTGGTGGTTAAATTTGTTTTCGCCTCAGAGTTGCCAATAGAAACGTTCTTTAAAAGGCTGTTCCAGTGGATTGATAAAAACTGTCGTTAAATCTACCGTGTGTAGAAACATTTTGAGAATAACGAATTTTGAAAACGTTGATAAAACTTTGTTTGTTTATTTTATTTCACTCTATAATTTTTCAAGCGAAATACAAACTATTAAAAGTGAAATAAATGTAAAACTTAACTCGTTTGCGACTTTAAAATAGCGTACTTGATTTGATTGTTTTGCACGTGCTGTTTGGCGCTACATTGTGACGTCACGTAAACAACACTTTAAACGTCTGTACAGCGTTAACGACTGAATTAAAGATATTAGTGTTCGGATTCGTTTTCTTAGTTAGACCATTTTCTTTCATTTTAGATAGTTTTTACAACAAAATTCGACAAAAAAAATCAGATTTTTCAAACAAAATGGCGCCCTTAATGTGAAAAACACAGGGAGATAATAAGAACGGCGAGTGCATTGTTGTAGAATAATGCACGCTTCGGGCCTTCTTTGTTTATATAGAGAAAATTCCGATAGTGTTAGAATGTTTATTAAAGTTTCGGCTGAAGATATGCGAAGAAAGCATTGAAAGCGCTACCGAATATACATAGAGTTTGTTATTTCTTAAACATTATTATTTTATCTCTATATATATGTATAGGATATTGAATGGGTGTAAGTTTAATACTGAATTTATTGAACGAGTTGAATAAAAATATATTATGCGAGCCTCTGGCGAGTATATAATTTAACACGGTATCTAACTTTTGTGAATATGAACATTAATTCATACACGTACAGGGCTATATTATGTTTGCTTGCAAACCATATAACCTTTCAACGTCTTGATAATCTAATAATGGGTATACATAGGGTATTAAAACTGTGTAGCATATCGAACCTGGAGCTCATGCACTTCCAGGAAATTATAACTGAATTGTGTCCGTTTTGAGCTATGGAGGTTCAATAACTGTAATGAAAGTCTCTGAAAATATTAACACTAGTATCATTGTGTATTACAAAAGTTAACAATTTGATTTTCTTTTGTTTCATTTTTTAATTATACACTTTCGTTATGTTAACTGTTTAAACAAATTTTGTGGCACGTCAGGTAATAAAAGTGTTATAGCTCATGCACATGTATGGCATGATTCTGGGGATTATTTCATCTACTTTTAGATTTGATGTAGTATAAAATGACCTGGAATAAAAGTAAAGCAGTAGAGCAAATATAACAAAGAGATGACGTCACACCATAACATTGTTTCCGTGTATTTTGATAACTTTGAAAATGTGACACTTTACGGTTTAAAGTTCTTGCAATAACAAAAAGGTTTCAAAAAGGAATCTTCTACACAATATGATTGGTTACCATATCTATCTAATCGGAACGGTTCTTCAATCATCGTCATTTCGTCCTTGATCCCTCTCGGGCCAAATTCCGCATAATCTACAGTTCCTTCAAATAAAGCGTTTCCATAATTCGTATGAAACAGAATGAAATAACGACCAGTCTGGTCTTGTTTTGTATTAAAATTTGATAGTAATTTATTAAGTATTCCTTTAGGAGCATTTGGTATTCGACCAAAGGTGTCCTTGTCACTCATTGAGTACGTAACTGAAGCTTCTGTCACATTGTGAAGAGAGAGAATATTACATTCACTTTGATATTTTGATAAAATGTTGTTTATTTCGTTGACAAGGAACTTGGCTAAAGAATAAATAAATCCATTGTTGGTGGAAACAGGCATTTCGTCATCGCACATGCAATACCTCTTTTCAATACCGGTGTCAAGACATGTTCGTTCACGAGGAATCTCATAGAATATATTCCTTCTAATGATATTACCGATCATGCTTGTGTTCTTTTGTTTGGTGAAGGCAACATCATGAACTAAGTCGAATGTGGTTTGATATATATCATAAATAGAGAGAAGTCGTTTGGTGTTCTTTAACATCGTTTCGTGTATCCAACTGTATTTTCTTTTTAAATAATCGGGAACGTGTACCATAAGCCATGGTTTGTTACTTTCGGCCCTGCCAACGTGGGTCAACGACGGCCCGCCAGCTCGATAACCATGATCGCTTAACATAATCAAAATGGTGTTCTTTGTTTGGTTTTCATATTTCAACCATTTAAGAAAATCTAACAATCGGTTATCCTCATGACGTAATGTGGTGAAAGTATTGTGACTGGCTTGGTTATTCCATATGAATGCATATTTTCGTTTGTTTTTGTATTTCACTAAAAATCCTTTCAAGTATTCTATTTCTAATTCTAAGTAGTTATTCACAACATAACAAAATTGAGATGCTTTTCCCAAGTTTTCGATGATTTTTGGCTCAAACTTGTCCATTCCGAGACCAAATGGACGGAAATAGAAATCTGTTGGTTGATCCTTAAATCCACTTTTCCCAGTTCCTGAAAAAACGGCAATGTTGTTTCCGTCTTCTGCAAAAAACGTAGCAAAATGTTTTTTAACAATCTTTTCATTCCATATGATAGGCAAAGAATCTGCATACTTATGCAAATGAAGCACAAACGGGAAATTTCTGTTAGACTGACCAGTTAATAAAGGAAATATATTTGGACCTGTATTTTCACCAACTTTACTGTAACCTTCAAAATCGTAAGCATGGAATTCTTTCCTCAGAAACTTATTAGACTTTGGGAGATTGCGTATAGCATGCGAACGTGATACAGAATCGATTCCAACTATGATCACACTAAGCTTACTTTCGCTTTCATCTTCAACATCGTCTACCATTTTTGCATCATTATTCCAGGCAGGATTAAAGTGTAAATAATCATAAAACTCATTATCATTCACATCAACACAGCGCACACGAAACACATGACTTTTAATGGAAATCGGAGCAACAAATTTAACCTCATCTTCGAATATAACATCTTTATCTCCACCATTTCTTTTTAAGTTACTGTAAAAACATTTCACATATCTTGTGTCTATTTGATATTTTTTCATCCCCGTCTCATTAAATCGTAGAAATCCTTTGTCAACAAACATTAGTTGTTCTCGATTTGAACAAATAATAGGCGGTTTCTTCTCTTCTATATACCGCTTTAACGATTGGTCCCACGGGTTAAGCGTCACCAGTTTGCACGGCTTCATTTCTAATTTCGATACTCCATGTATATATGTATATTCGTTGAAATAAACCAGGAAACACACAATGCAAACGGTCACGGCAATTCCGAAACTCTTTTTAGTTTTAAAGATATTAGGTAGTTTTAAACACATTCCCATAATAACTAATACCGTGCTGAAATATTTATGCATCACTTAGTGGCATTTTATTGGTATCAATAAAACGTATGAATTCACCGTTAAGTTTAAAGAACATGGTCAAATTTAAGGGTTCACTTGTCGTGGGTTAACATGTGACAACATGTAATATTACCCATCCTACCCTGTTATATTGTTTACAAAAAATATTAGCTTCAGTATTTGCCGTAACTTGAGATGTACATTTTTTTTCTTCAGCTTTGTACTAAATGCGTATTATGCATCTATATCTGTTAGATTATTTGTGAAGTAATTATTTGCTCTGAAAAATAAAATTATGTTTGTTGCTATCCCCTCTTCAAATTTAAAGGTATTATTATTATTCTCCGCTCATGGATGACCCTGTCTTGTAGTCGAATGTTTGAAATAGCGTATATTGTAAAACGAGCAGAAGAACATGATAAAGAGAATCGGCCATGCACAACTTTAAGTATTTAAGTAACAATAACTCATACAATGTTAATATGTAAACATGTAATCTCCACGCAGTGACCTCCCCTTCCTTTGTCGGCATAGTACATCCTGTATGTTGTAATTAAGGTTGTATACTAGGTGGTGGTGATGTTGGTAGTTTTCACTCCTGTATACCACACTTAAATGAAATTATATATATATGTATATAATTATGCTTATAAAACAATTTTCAAACATCGAAGAATATGTAACATATGTACTGCAAATATTTGTACATATTATATTATATGCATTCATTTCTTATTGAAAAATTTGACTTAGTCTTTATAGAAAATAAATTTTTATTACCTCCCTTTATTTACATGAAATGTTAAATTCGGTAATATCTTTATAAATAATGCTTTTTGAAACTTACAAAATTGATATTAAGTCTTAATTTGAGCATTATATTTATGATATAAAACCATAAAAATTGTGTTAAAGATCTTTAAGTAAATCTACAGATATAAAATTTAATATTACAAAGAAGCTAAACACGTTGAATTTTAATTTAATCTGTAAAAAGCAGCAATAATTATTTTAAGCTCAAAGATATGATGATGATGATTAAAAATGTTAGTTTTCATGATTCCTTTAAAAAAATAATCATATTTACACTGACGTTTGGAGGAGTCAACAGATTGTAGTAACTTTTGGTATATAGGTGTATTATGTAATAGTTAACGTACATGAAACGAGTTAGTTACGAGGATATAACACTGGCTGGGGCGACATCAAGGGATATTTCATCCCGAGATGTCGCCCAGCCAGTGTTATATTCTCGTTACTAACGAGTTTCATATATTATAACTGTTTTATCGCAATGACATAATGTTTTCTTTTTTGTAATAGAAAAAAACAATCTTTAGCAACATTATAGTTAATTATGATAAGGCATTTTTTCAAGTTGTTTTCGCTGCCGCAAAAAAAGATATACAAAAGACATCCAATGTTAGAGGCGGATTGTAAAATGTTACCAATATTGATTTAGGCTTTGTTCAGTGGAAATAATTCATTCAGCGGATGTACCTTTTGATTAAATGAGAGTAAATTTCATTTCTCATTAATTATCTTTGTTTATATTTTTCATTGTATTTATTTATTTTATTTTATTGATTCCATTTTTTTTGTGCTACTTGGAATGTTCGTTACCACTGCCCCATTAGAACATCTGTGAAAAAAAAAAAAAAAAAAAAAAAAAAACTACATGGATATATACAAGATGCGAAAAAAAAACTCAACCGCCATATAGCAGTCGAGTGTTTTTTTCCCTATATGAATCAATGAAAAAACTGTACTGTTATATATCAATACAGTTTTCAAATGCTGATTGGCTGATTGAATACAAACTTATCAAACTTATATACACACACCAATAAATATATATGGTCATTTAATGCACAAATCTGAGAAAATTCAGTAATTTAACCTTCAAGGTCAAGGTCATTAAGGAGCCCAAGTCAATTTGAGTTTTATAAACATGAAGGTCTTGTCCTTAAGAATGTACTGTTATAATATGAAGTCAATCCATTCAATAAAAGCAAAGTTACAGCCAGTTACAGCCAAAAAATGAAAATTTAAATAATTTGACCTTCAAAGTCAAGGTCATTAATGAGTAAAGGCCAGGGTATGTCGGGTTATTTTTAAGGGTTATCCTTGAAGATTATTATGTTCAAGTTGTTTGAAGACAATTCATTCAAAAATAACAAAGTTACAGCCAATAATAGCCAAAAAAAATGAAAATTTCAATAATTTGACCTTTAAAGTCAAGGTCATTTATGAGTGAAGGTCAAGGTCTGTCCAATTTTTTAAGGGATACCTTGAAGATTATTATGTTCAAGTTTGAAGACAATCCATTCAAAAATAACAAAGTTACAGCCAATAATAGAAAGAACAAGCAAAATATGGACTTTTGACCTTGAAGGTCAAGGTCATTTATGGATGAAGGTCAAGGTTAGTGTGGTCTACTGAAAGTTCTTGTCCCAAAGGTTGTTGTGGTCAAGTATGAAGACAATACACCAAGCAATAAAAAAGTTATGATCCAGGTACAAGTTTGCGGACGGCAACGGTACCGGCAACGTCAACGCCGCCGCGACTATAACAATACCTCTACTTTTTTCTTTTTTTTTAAAAGTCGAGCTAAAAATTAGCCATAAATGAAAAGCGTTGAACGCTTTTCACTGAAATCGAGCTAAGAATTGCAAGAGCAATCGGTATTCAATTCAATTCTGAGTAATGTCTTTGTTGTCATTTGCAGATTATTCAATTTCAACTGATTAACTTGATCTATGTAAGAATTTTAAATTATGTTTGTTTTGGCCTCAGTGGAGCTTCTGTTAAGTGGCAACATTTTGTCTTATAACAAGCTAATGTATTTTTACGTTAACATCCTCTTACCTGTTATTTCAAAACAAAACTTTATTGTTATTATTAAAGAAAATATAAGCAGACAAAAGAAATAGAAATTCACAAGTTTATTAATGACAATATATTTTATTAGTTTTGACTTGACGTCGCTACACTTTATTATCGAAAACATCACGAAAAGATAGATATAGAACGCTATTTAACATACTCTTTAAAGGAAGTGTAGGTCAAATTTCTGTTCTTTAAGAGTATTAGATTTGTAGAATTGAATGTAAATGGAAAAGAGTTTTGTACACTTCGGACTGCATTTCATATGGGAACACATACAATACTTCTAATAGTTTTTTCGACATAAATAAGTAAATGTATAAGAATAAGATAAAAAACATTCATGTCCTATACATTTTATGTTTCTTTTATTTGCCAACAATGGCAGGGCTTGAATAGTTTTGTTGTAGCAGAAACACAGAGAACGTACTGCAACATATAACCGTACACCTTCTTTCCAGCGTCCATATTGTGAGTAGAGACAGTGTCCCCTTGATTCAGTTGAAGAACAACTTCTTGGCTTCCTGCCCCTCCATTTATAATATAAATTCTTGACACAAATTTGCATTATCTGGAAATGATCAGGAGTACTGGGTGTACCAGCCATCAACGTCGTCGCGAACACGTACCTTCCGGCGACAGGAGCTCTGTAATAAAGTTTCCTTTTAAAAGGAAAGGCTTGCACAGTTGTGCCTTCATCCCAACCCTTTAAAATTGTTTTTTTGAAATACGGTATTTGTATATCATAAAGGGTTTATTTAGTTTTTTTTTTGTTTTTTTTTTTTTGGAAAACCGAATATTTTTTTGTCAAAACGATTTAGATCTATTCTCTATTGTATAAAACTAATAAAGAAAATGATCAATCGTAAAAATATTAACGTGATACTGAAGGAAACAAGTGTGCACATCTCATTTCCCCTTTTTCGCAGCGAAATCATTCCTTTGCTTTATAGACAAGTAAATGCACTAAAATACTTCGTTACGTGGTGATACATAGATCAGCACAGTCATGGCAAGGTTAATGATATGCATGGGCTATTTTTAGATTACCTCACCAAGAAGTTGAATTGCGTTCAGTAGATCTAAATATAACTCGATCATGCGTGATTTGGTAAGCAGGACCACCCTTTGAAGACGGAATAATACTACAGTCACCATTCTCTATTGTATAAAACTAATACAGACAAAAAAAAAACAATTATAAAAGAAACTAACTTGTGCGTGTTGAAAAACAAATGAAACGGAACAATTTCGTTTATAATTTATTACGGTTTAAACCGATAGATCAAGTAAAAATAGAAATCCTATTTATATACACAAACTGGGATTACCGAAGTAACTAAAATAGCTTAGATTTCCGTAATATTACTCCGCAGTATGACGGAATCGCCCGAATTGTCACGATTGCAAACGGAACTACATCGGCTATTATCATTAATCCGAAGACTGACGGAAAAGGCCGAAAAGTTGCGATTGGCACGATTGCAGCTGGTTTCCCGTTCAATCATGCACCAACAGATGTAAGCAGGAAACCACCTAACCGGAACAAGTTTTCCACATGAAATGGCTTGCAGCCGTGGCTGCAAGCCAAAAATATACAATCCTCAAACAGTTATCCAATCGTTGAGGTTTAGAACCCGTTTAATAAGCTTTTTATTTAATCACAGGATGATCAGAAAGTCTGGTCTGTGACGGGCTTAATCGTTAATTGAAATTTAACTTGTTGCCCGACCCATTTGTTTTTTTTTTGTTATATACTTATCATATGCATTTATATATTACATGTTTGTCGGGCAATGAAATATGTTTAAACTTGTCTGGTCAGTGTACGTTCTGTGCTGGTTTCCGACCAATCAAAATCCTGATATAAAACATTTCTTTATAACCTCAAACCCTGCTTTAGAACTATTTTATTATTCATTGGTCGTAGTTAAATTGTAAATGTAAATAATCCTATGTCTGAAGCTATGAATATTACATGCGGTGTTCCTCAGAGGGAAGTATATTAGGTCCTCTATTATCTATGTTATATCAATGTTATGAGTATCAATATTAGCAAAAAATGTAAATGTAGCTTGATGAGTTAAACTGTAACATGATATTCTAGGTGCGTATACCCCGTTTATAATAGAGAGTTCCCTATATCTTAAAATGCTACCATCAAGGACACTGATATGTTAACACA